AAAAAAAAACTGTGGGTCAATCCTTGCTGGACATAGGGCTTTAATGTGGAGCCCTGGTTACATAGTCTGGCTTCCAATTCATGATCCTCCTGGCCGGGTCACTCCTTTTCAAAGAAGCCTTTCAGATTAATTTAGGACTATCCCTTTAACTGGATACTATGTTACTCCTTAAATAATTTAGATCTCAAATATGAATCCTGTGTCCACCAGAATCTCTAGCGCACCAACTTTACCTACAGTTTTCAGGTTGCCCTGCAAGGCAAGCGTAATTATGTATACAGTTGAGTGTGATGGTGTACTTCTGCAAGTTCAGCGCTGAGGAGGCAGAGGCAAAAGATCAAAAGCTAGGCTAGACTTCATGAAGATGATGCTGGAGAGACAAAGGGAAAGTGGAGCACACAGAGGGCCATCTTCTAACCTTCCTTTCATCAGTGTAAGTGTTCACATAAAATTTTATGTGAAGCAGGAGAAAGATGCCTTGTCACTTAAAAACAAAGCTAAGACAATTTGTAATGTTAGGTATCTACTGCCTATGATAAGAGTGCCACAAGCTTAGAGCCAATTTTGCTTTCGTCAGTTTAGGTGAAAAAATCTAGCCTGAGAATAAGAGAAAGGGAACTATTTCATAAGTAGGCTAATAGGGCAAGTAGATATGACCATTTATAATAATTACAGATCAGGCCACATCTTTGCATGTAAATGTCATAAAACAAAGTTCTTTTGATCCTCTAATACACTTTTCATGCTCCATCAACATCCAGAAATAACCTTTGAGGAAAGTATTTTTTCTCAATAAATTGATCTAAACTATGTTCAAGATTTTCTTTTCCTCTCCATTTTCCCTAAGCCACATCCAGAGTTAAGGCATTTCTGAAATGCACCCCTGTGCAGGTCAGGCCATCTGACGGCGCAAGCTTCACGCGTTCTCCAGGGAACTTCACTTGGGTTTTCATGTTAAGTATAGATGATCTCAAACCAGATCCTTGCATGACATGAGGATTCTGTCTGCTCATCTCTTTCACAAGAGCACAGATTCTGGTAAATTCGTAATTCCAATTTAGAATTTACTAAGTTCTGCCATATTTCACCAGGCTGAAGTTTCTTCAGATACGCCAGGTTTCAAAAGAGATGACATAGGGGTTGGAGGTGTGTCTTACTTGGTAGAACATTAGTCCACGAGGAAAAGTGTTACCTACTAATTTTAAGTCCTGGTCTTCCACCTTAAAAAAAAAAAAAAGGAAGCCAGGCGCCAGTGGTTCATGCCTGTAATCCTAGTGAGTGACTCAGGAAGCTGAGACTGAGGTTTGAAGCCAGTCTTGGCAGGAAAGTGCGTGTTATCTCCAATTAACCACCAGCAAATGGAAGTGGTACTGTAGCTTAAAGTGATAGAGCACTAGCCTTGAACAAAAAGAACCCGAGGATAGTACCCAGGCTCTAAGTTCAAGCCCCACTACTGACAAAACACAACATGCTCACCCCCAACCAAAAGAGGTCACTTACAAGATTCTTTCCATTAAACCAACTCCCACCAGAAAAGGGAACATTACAGATTTTCAAGCAAAGCACAAGTTCCACAAGCTCTTATAGACCATAGAAAATAAAGGGGGGGGCGGGGCGGGGAGAAGGTGGGAAGAACCCAGCAATTATCTAGGAAAATCAATGCTCAGAGAAGGAAGAAGACTTCACCAAACCAAAACACTGGGAAAAGTAAGGGAATCAGAAGCTATGATTCTTTTTTAGACATCCGGGTAACTTCAGGCCAAACACAGGCTCCTTAACTGAACACTACAGGTTACCAGCAAAACTGACACGATTCTTCAGCCTGGGGATGTGTGACCAGCTTCTTTAACTGTTAAGTCCATTTACGCCATAGGGACTGACCATATAAGCACAAAGCATCATTATGAAATTACCAAGCATTCACTGGAGGCCTCATTAGTGAAATACCTCACACAGGAGCTTATTCTACGTTCCTAAACACTGGTCCGGGAACCAACCCAGACACCCTCACTTCTCCACTGAGCATGGTGGTGGTGCCTCGATTTTCCTACTTATCTAACAAGAACAGTACTGAGAATTGAGAGTGGCTTATACATCACTTGGAAAAATAACTGGCTAGCCATTAACATTATTTCATAATACTATAAAGCCAGAAATGGGGTCTGGGCCATAACACGACGTAACAAACTTACAGCTAACAGAATCAGTGATGAATCTATAATCTTACTAGACAAAGTATCAGGATGTGTTGAGACTTATTTGTATCTGTTCAGAGTAATTTCCCTTTGTAAAACCTATTCAAAATCTTCAATGCCCCACGCTTCTTCCCCTATTTCCCAGACTTTTATTTCTGAACACTGGTGATATTCCCAACAAGTTCCAGGATTCCTCTAGCAGCTGTCTTGGAGCTAAGGTCCAGTAAGATCAGTTAACTCAGGATGCCAGGCAGAGGACAGTGAATGCATACAGAGACAGGGGAAAGCCCATACCAAAAACAGTCGTCAGAATCTTACACTGTCCACAGGAAAGAATAAAAGTGTTCATCCCCAATCAAAATCGTCACTTTACTTAGTTGGTAGCCTACATTTTACCTGCTACTTCCTGTCTCAATTCCTGCACATAATCAAGGTGGCACAGATCCCTCAATGAGAAACCAGGATTTGTGAAAAAAGGCCTCTCCCAGTGAGGCAGAGCAAAGTCTCACTAAACTGGTAGAGAGCAAATGCAGGACATTCTGGAAGGTGGGTTTTAAGTGCAAGGTGCCAACTTGTAAACAGTGATTACATTAATTAGCACAGGACTTTACATTTAGCAGTTTCAAACTAAGTTTATAAACTAAGAATGTAACAAGTCTGACAATGGTGGGTATCACATCAGCACCAGGAATAATAACACAAGGTCTTACAGGTCTAGGGGAGGAAAACATCCTAAGTTCATGTGGCACTACTAACATGCCAAGAGCTTCGATTTCAATAGTAAACACACCATTCACACCGGGGAGCAGCATTTCTAACACCCAGGTCCTCACAGGCAGGCAAATCACTGTTAAATGCTCACTGAAAAGGGTGTTACTTCCCTTGGAAGTCCAGGTTAACAAGCTATGGGCACCCTGGTGAGAACAGTAAATTAGATTCTAATGTTTAAAAAGTTTCAACCTTTCTCTTGTATCATTTAATTATGGTATTCCCCCCAATATTCAAACATATTACCTCCAAACTACACTTCTAGTGTCTTATCTGTAGTTAATGTAACAATCATTTCCAACTCTAAAAAAAACAACTACTTTATGTGTATGTGCACACATATCCCATCAATTAATGGGTTAAGTGTGTCAGCGTCTACTACAATTGCCACTGTACTTTGTTACACATAATTCTCAAAATAAACACACACTTAAATCTGAAGTTATTCTTTATCTCTTTTTCTCTCTACGAATTAGTTCTTAATTTCTCCTTTATACCAAAAGGCCCCATTTTTCTTTTTAAGTGGCAATTACAACTAAATTAATGTGCTGACAGTCTGTGTATACAATTTAAACAAGCAATTTTTCCAAATATTTTAAATTTCTACAAATATTTTTAATAAAATGTTTTCAAAATGTGTTTCAAAGAAGGAGACAATTTCAGGTGTGGTAGACCTTATGTACTCAGGCTTTCTTGCTTGTCTATTACCTGCAAGTGGTGCTGAAGTTAAATCCCCTCAACACTGTCAAGTTTCATTTCAATATAAATAATATTAGAACTTCTCCTGCACTCTAATTAAAGGAGAAAAAAAAGTTAAGGAAAGAAAATTTGTATTACTTTTAAAATCAATGACTTCCAGAACTGGCAAGTCCAATAACGATGAGAAATTCACAATCGAAGTAATCCTGTTTCCTACACAGGAACTTTAAGACTTGGTTAGTTTCAATAGAGTAGCTTCTACTAAGGGAGTTTTTCAACAAAGGTTAAGATAAAGGAATTTTGATTTAAAATTCCATTAAAGAGTGCCCATTATCTCTTTTAGTTAATTGAGCTATTTATTGTACAATGAACCCTTAGCTTATATACTGTAAATTCTAGCCTTCACACCCAATTTGTGCTGCTCTTCCTTTGGTGTCAGAACCAGGAAACCTTTGAAACAACAAAGTACACGCTTCCAAAGTGCATACAACAAGCTTTCCTTTAACGGGAAAATGGCTATTGCCACTACAGCTATCACAACACTTCATCTTATTTATAATAGGCCAAATGAAAGCACCTTCACAAACTTCATATCCAACATATACTCAAATGAACTCTCTTCAAACAACTGCTTTTAAGAACTTGTAATTGTCTAACAACAGATCCACATTATCTGTTTAATAAATACTAAACAGCATTTTCAAATTAACCAACTTGCCTCATTTTCATTCATCAAAATGCTACTAAGTAGCAATTATCAATGGCAAATTCAACTTAAAAGCACCAACTGATTAACTATGTATCAAATACATCCTTTGGTTTCTTATCAATTTATCTTGACATATGCAAGATGCTTGCAACAGCATTTTAAAAGTATCTTTAAATATCAACCCCCCCCCCCATTGTCAATCTTGGGCAGCAAGAACAAGAGCAGAAAAAGGAGACAATTTTCTCATCAGAGCTTCATTGCAAGGTGCTGGGGATCAAACCCAGGGTGTTGTGCATGTAAGGCAAGCTCTCTACCGCCACCAAGTCACCACTCTCAACCCCATCAGTCTCATCAGATCTTTAAGGCTTCAGGAGTTTTGCAACTTTTGAGATTGAGATTAGAGCTCTACATACAAGAGGACAGAATACAATTGACTACAATTCCATTAAAAAAAAAACCTTACATTTTCTCTTAAACCTAAGTCATTTTTTTGTTAAGTGTTCAGAACCAGCTCTAACCGGTTCCTTGAGGAATGTGGCTAGGCTGAAAAGTGTTGGCTTTGGAAGGAGGAGGAAGTCTCTGACTTCCCTACTGCTGCAGTTCCCAACCTCCAAAATGAATATACCCACCGGTGTGAATTGACAATGTAGTCCAAAGAGCAAGGCAGGAAACGGAGTCCAGATCCTCAAAATGGCAGTACAGGGCATAACCACTAGGCCACCTATCAGTTCAGTACCAAAAGTACAACCCTGTGCATCATGGTGCAAAAGCTGGGGCCTAGGTTTCGCATTGTGCATCTCACACCTATGGAAATAACAAGAGGAGTAAAATCTACAGAAATCAGCACACCCTAAGAAAGTGGGTGCTCACAGAAGACCGGTGTCAACACTTGCAAAGGTGGTTGGCTACCGATATATCACATGGCAACTACAAGACCAAAGTTGGGAGGAAATAGAAATTTGTACAATCAACTTTGTTGATTCATCAATGAAGAACTCAACAAGGGCTTGACGTTTACCAACAAAGCTTTGCAAATCATGACACCCATCTCTCATGCTTATGAAAATTACCACCCCACAGAAGTCTAACACCCTTCAATCATGATTTGACCCTTTCAAAGAGCTGGAAAGATTTGGACCAATGAGCAACACCCCAAACCTGTTACTCTTCAGATTTTAAACTCTTTACCACCTGACCTTGGAGAGACATGTTGACACACTCAAAGCTTAAAGTGAAAGAATTCCAGAGAAAGGGAACCTCTGACCCAAGGATGTGCCAAGGTCTTCAAGAACAAATGTGGCTTGTCTGAGGGTCAATGGTTTTGTAAAAGTAAAAAGGAGGAAACTTTCAAAAAGTGCAGAATGGATTTCTTAGAAGAAATAAAATCACTGCTCTTGACTCAATCCTTCGCCATGTTGCTGTCAGCTCACCAACTAGGAGTGCAAGTGTGTGTGTCTGGCTGGGCCCATTTTCCCATGGTCTGTAGAAGGCGCTGTGAAGCACATCCTGTTCTAGCTCAGGGGCCCTTCCCCCCTCTGCAGCCTTACCCAGTGCAAAGAATGCGCCCCCTACTGACTCCAACAGTCATTGCCTTTAGCCGACTTGGCTGCAGTGCATTTTGGGTGGGGGCTGGTATTTTCTTCATGGCCATAAACCAGAAGCAACAATGCAGGTTTATAAAGAAACTATCAAGCTATTTAAGATCTATCTATCTACATCTAAATATGTATTCTTCCTGCGTTTTAAAGGATCAAGACAGACACAAGCAGCATCAGGAATAGAAACTGGGCGTGTGGGGATGGCCAGCATTAAAATGGCTAACACAGGAAACAGTCTGGGTTCTTTTTCCCTCCTAAGCCTTTGTCTGTGAAATGGGGTTATGGCAAGACCCGTGCAGAGGAACTGGTGAATGCTGGAGCACTGAGACTCAATGTGGGATGTGTGTGGCTAAAAAGGATATTAGACTTCAGTTCAGAGCTGGGTCTTGGACAGAAGAGGAAGAGAAGCGATCGCGCCTTTTCCAGCAGTCAGGCATCCAGGTTGGGGGGGGAGGGGAAGGCAGGCAGACAGCCCAGAGGAAAGAAGAGGTTGAGTAAGAGGCTGCTTGGAGAACTACTCTCATTCATTGCATTTTTTTAAAAAAATCGTCTTTTTGCAGTTTTCTGGATTTCCGTTTTCTGTGGTCTTACTGCAAAGTTGGGGCCCAGGAAGCTCGTAAGGGAGGTCGTGCAGCCCAGGCAGCTGGGACTGAGGGGAGAGTAAGGTGGGGGCCTCAGGTTGGGGTGGGAAGGAAGCTGGAACGCGGGGAAGACAGGGTTGCACGGGGAGGTAAAGACTTTCACTCGGTGCCATGCCTGCTCCCCGCCCCCCGCCCCCTCCCCCGCCCCGGCGCAGGGTGGGTAGAGCGGGCACCAGGCCCCTGCCCGGCCTTGGGGTGTACGCGGGGAGCAGGTTTGGGGGGAGGGGGCGTCAGAGACCAGTACCGGGGATGGGAGAAACGGGGTCCTGGCTGGGGGCGGGGTGTGGAGGATGCCACGAGCTGCCACAGCCCGGGGCGGCGGGGCTGGCGGAGAGGGTCCGGGCTGCAGGGGGAGGCGCCTGGCCCCCGGAGCGGAGCGGGGTAGCGGTCCGACGGGCGCGGGGC